GAAAATTATTTTTCTTTATTGATTTAGTGTTTTGTTTTTTTATTTATTTTCTTTTTTAATATATCTTTATTGATTTCAGAGAAAGGAAAGGAGAGAGAGAGAGAGAAACACCAATGAGAGAGTCATTGATCGAGCCCGCAACCCGGGCATGTGCCCTGACCGGGAATCGAACCTGGATCACCTGGATCCCAGGTCCACGCTCAACCGCTGAGCCGCGCCGGCTGGGCTTGTTTTCTTTTTTAAAAAAAGAGAACGGGAGACTGAAGAACTGAATTTACCCTGTTGGTGCAAGTCAAACAATAGCATTGCCTTGCTTTGAGGATTTAATGTTGTTAGCTAACATCAGATGAGCATGGATTTTCTTTTCATCATTGTAAAATAACATCTTTGCTCTCTGGTCTTCTCTGCTCCAAAATCTCTGTGTAGATTTTATTAGATATTTTTTGTTGTTGTTGCTAGTGTTGAGAAATTCACATAACCCCTAGATGTCCTAAATTACCTTTTATCTAAAAGAACACGTAAAGCTCATCCAAGGAAGAAAGGCTATTTATTGGATGTCTGCTATGTATTGGGCCCTGGGAATAAGGTCATTGCCGTGGGCATAGAGTTTAGAGACTGCTGGAGCCGCCTTGCTAGTTTTTTGTTGAGGATTTTAGCATTTATGCGCATCAGGGATAACCTGTAATTTTCTTTCTTTGTAGTGTCTTTATCTGGTTTTGGAATCAGGATAATGCTGACTTTATTAAATGAGTTTGGAAGCCCTCCGTCCTCTTGGATTTTTTTGGAACAGTTTGAGAAGGATCGGTGTTTTTCTTTGAATGTTTGGTAGAATTTGCCTATGAAGCCATCAGGTCCAGGACTTTTGTTTTTTGGCAGTTTATTGATTACTGCTTAAATTTCATTAGTTGTAATTGGTCTGTTCTGATTTTCTGTTCCTTCTTCATTGATTGGAAGGTTGTACGTTCCAGGAATTTATCCACTTCTTTCATATCGTCCAATTCGTTGGCCTATAGTTTGTCATAACATTTTCTTATCCTTTGCATTGCTGTGGTATTGGTTGTTACTTTTCCTCTTTTATTTCTGATTTTATTTATTGGGGGTCATCTCTTTTTTTCTTGATAAGTCTGGTTAAACATTTATCAATCTTGTTTATCTTTTCAAAGAACCAGCTCTTGGTTTCATTGATCTTTTGTATTGTTTTTTTTTAGACTCTATTTCATTTATTTCTGCTCCTATCTTTATTTCCTTCCTTCTACTCACTTTGGGCTTTGTTTGTTCTTTTAGCTTCTTTATTTATAAGGTCAGATTGTTTACTTGAGACTTTTTTGTTTCTTGAGGTAGGCCTGTATTGCTACAAATTTTTCTCTTTACTGTGTCCCATAAATTTTGGGTTGTTGTGTTTTCATTTTCATTTGTCTCGGGTATCTTTTGATTTTTAACTTGATCTCATTATTAACCCATTCATTGTTTAGTAACATGTTATTTAGCCTCCGTGTTTTTCAGGGGTTTTTTGTTTTTGTTTTTTGTAATTGATTTCTAATTTCATACCATTGTGGTTGAAGAAGATGCTTGAGATGATTTCAGTCTTCTTGAATTTACTGAGACTTGTTTTGTGACCTAACATTGTCTATCCTGGAAAATGCTTTATGTGCCCTTGCTAAGAATGCATGTTATGCTGCTTTGGGGTGAAATGCTCTGAAAATATCAATGAAATTCATCTGCCTATTGTGTCATTTAAGTCTGCTCTTTCCTCGTTGATTTTCTGTCTGGAAGATCTGTCCATTGATGTCATAGGGGCGTAAAATCCCCTATTATGACTGAATTACTGTTGATCTCTCCCTTTATGTCTGAGATTTACTTTATATATTTAGGTGCTCCTAAGTTGTGCATAAATGTTTACAAGGGTTATATCCTCTTGTTGGATTGATCCTTTTATTATGCAGTGTCCTTATTTGTCTCTCTTCATAGCTTTTTAAAAAAGTCTATTTTGTCTGATATAAATATTGCTACCCCAGATTGTTTTGTTTCATTTCCATTTGCATGAAAAATCTTTTTCCATGTCTTTACTTTCAGTTTGTGTGTATCTTTCATTTTGCAATTGGTCTCTTGTAGACAGCATGCATGTATGTCTGGTTTTCTTATCTATTCAGCTACCCTGTGTCTTTTAATTGGAGTATTTAATACATTTACATCTAAAGTAATTATTGATGGGTACGTATTTATGGCCATTTTATTTTTTATAACTATGTTTCTCCCTCC